ACGACGCTCTTCCGATCTCCCCAAAACCCCAAAACCCCAAAACCCCGTGATTTACTTTAAAATAGTGATTTTGGTATATTCTATCAGCTTAATAAGAAATAAAATGTATTCATAAATTTATTTACCTGGTTTTAAGGGAATGTTTTAGGAATATAATAAAATTAATTGTGAATTATATCAGGAGATCCTAATGTAAACCTAGTAGCATAAAATGAAGGGAAATTATCGGTCTAGTAAAATCAATCTAGAGATAGACATCTAACGGTTAAATACTGAGAGCACTCAATAATTCTCCCCTAAGAGCTCATCCAACTATGTCATATTCAAGTAAATATTCCTCTCTTATTAATAACGTTAACTAGAAACTTATGGTGTTCATGTTTCCAAAGTAGCTCTTCAATGGAATAATTGGTGTCTACCGATGATAATTTAGATAATTACATGGAGATAAACCTTATTAATTCTAAGTAATCTAAAATGCCAGAGAGAAATAATAGCAGTACTCAAATAGTAGAGACTGTGGGCTCAGACACAACTGCTTCGTCTAACAGTCCTACTAATATGACCATCATGAACTACTAGGTACTACCACTACTATAATTTAGACTTAATTAATCTTCTTTATAGCATTACTATAAAATATTGTCTAAAACCCAAAAGAGTACAAAGGATAGCGTATCTCCAGAAGACAATTCTAACTCATCTAGAAGACACCGTGGACAATCAATCTACTTTGATATTGACTAACAATAGCAAAAGAAATGCGGAATTTCAAGAAAACTGAGACCCCTGATTAAATCAAAATTCTATAGGAAAAAATCTTCTTTAAATCTGATTAGTGAGTAACCTCAATTAGCAAACCCAATTGATGAGTTGCTGACTATATCTGAGATCCACTAAAACTAAAAGAAAGCTTCTGAAAAAGCGTGGAAAGCTAGCTTTTACAAGTACGGATACTTTAAGAAAAGTGGGAAAAATGATAACGAAGTCTCCGAAATTCAAGAGGAACCTGATGAGGACTACGAAGAAAATCTGTCAAAGATTTTAAATAAAGCTTTGGATATTGGTAACCCTATTTAGACAGAGGGTATCGAAGTAGAGGAGATTGGAGACAGTGATATTAATCTTTTTCAAGGTTGTAGAGGCCACGCTCTTTCTGAGCTTGAACCATCTACTCAGTCAAAGCCTCCTCTAGGAAATCTTAAGATGTCTATGGCACTTAGGAAAATTGCCAAAAATAACCAAGGTCAGTAATATCATACACCGGTACTAAGTAACTCCATTGCAACAACATCGATAGCAAGTGCCAGTCCTAAGATACAAAGCAACTCCAAGAAAACTAGCAAGACCAGCACTCCAAAAGGAGCAGCTGCTAGTAAGAACATATTCAAGGGTCAGAAAGTATAAAACTAAAAATGAGAATAAAGAATTTTTCGTTTCAACAACTTTGTAAATAGCAATGTCATTAACTATAACAGTTTTATTAGCAACCACATAGAAAACTAAAGTTTGATGATAGAGATATCCCAAGGAGTTGTAACTAATACACTTTGAACAATTTTCTACTTTATCTAACTAAAACTCAATGAAGTTTACTTTACTTTATTTAAACTTTTTTATTGAACTTGATGTTTTATTTGATATTCTCCATGGGGTTTTGGGGTTTTGGGGTTTTGGGGAGATCGGAAGA